GGCAGGGGAGAAGGCAGGGAGGGAGGGAGGGAGCTGGAAGGTAGCTGGAAGCTGCTGATGCTTTTCCAGAGGTGAGACAGGAGCACCCCCAGGGGCAGGCAGGGCAGGGTGGTGGAGACGGGTCCAGGCCCAGCGGGGTGAGCTCTGGGCAGGGAGAGCACGGAGGTCCCATCTGCTGGCCGGTGCTGGCTCCTGAGGCCCAAGGAGGCCCCGGGGACCGGGACCGAGGAGGCCCGTATCCCTGCTGTCATCCCGCACCTGCCTGTTCCTGGGGGTCAGTGTGGGCTCCCCGGCCCCACGTCAGTCCCGCTGAGGGACGGTGCTCTCTCTGACCCTCTTATGTACACGACAACCCAGAGGCCGGGGAAGACACCTCAGCAGCTGTGTGGTCCAGGGGCTCTCAGACCTCAGTGAGCGTGAGAACCAGGTGTGGGGGACGTTTTGTTCTCAGAGTCTGGTTCAGTGGGTCCATGCTGGGGTCCAGGCTGTGCCTTTCTAACGGACGTCCCCCGTGGTGCCCATAGGCTCCTCAGAGCGCCCTGGGAGAACACTGGTCTAGCGTGCCCGGCTCCCCAGGCTGTGAACCCCTGCGGGACTCTGACTGGCACAGTCGGTCCCTTGATCCCAAGCCCCTGGACGGGAAGCTCACCCCCTGGCCCCAGACACGCCTCCAGCACCCCCGCCCTGCCCAGAGGGTCCTGCTCCCCTGGATCTGGTCTGCCCAGCCTGTGTCCGCCCCCGTCCCCAGGCTGAGCTCCCCCTGCTGATGGCACCTCCGGCTCCCTCCCCAGCCTCCTGTCCGTGTGGGCCCCATGGGGGTACCTGCCCCTGGCAGCAGGGAGTCGAGCAGAAATGGAACTCCCCGCCTCTTCCTCCGCGGTCCTGGAACCCAGCCGCCAGGCGCACCCCCCACCTCCTCAGCAGATTTCTCCCACCCCCTCGAGGGTTATCTCCCTCCTGTTCTTCTGGGCCCTTGTCTCAATGCTTCCCTGCTCTGCCCACCCGTCTGTCTCACCCTCCCCAGCGAGTCTGGGGTGAGGGCCGAGGGGGGATGCAGGAGGCAGGCTGCCAGGGAGTTTGCACCTGATGGTTGCCGCTCGGACTTTCTGTGGGCCCTTGGCCGATGCTGGTTATGTCCCAGGCTGGAAAGGGAACAGCTCTTCTGAGAAGGGAAAGTCAGAAACAGAGGCGCTTTGTCTCAGAATAGAGTGAGCAGTTTTAGGAAGCCAAAGCCTGTAACGTCTAAAATTACCTGCTGGGCTCTCCAGCTGTGGGCAGGGCCAGCTTTGGCCCCCCCCACACGGAGGCAGCAGGACCCAGAACGGGCAGGGGACCGACCTGTCTTGGTCTGGGCCCAGCAGCTCCTGGGGGGTGTGGGAAGGACCAGCTGTCTGGACCTTACTCTGAGGGTCCAAGCAGCCGGCAAGGACTTTTCCAGACATGCGGGGCCCACCCTCTAGGAGTCACCTGCTTGTCCCCCCAGAGCCACCCGTGGGTAATCACATAATTACAGGCAAGGGGGAAGCACTCCCTGAAGGTGCAAAGCCACGGTCAGCTCCTTCTCTGGCCCGTCGGCAGGTCCCAGTCAGGGTTAGAGGTTCAGCCTCTCTCGCCACCTGGACAGAGTGTCAGTGTCAGTGACCGGGGGCAGCCGGTTGTCACCCACTCCTGCTGCCTGGGCCCTGCCTGCCCGTCCTGTGGCTCCAGGCGCTGGGCCCCTGCCTCACACCTCTGCTCACTCTGTTTCCCGCCTGGGACGCCCTTCCCTGCTCTCTCTGCCAGTTGCCCACGTGCAGGGCTGCGTGAGCTTGCCCTCCTCGTCCTTCCGCGTTTCCAAGTGTCCCATAGCAGACACTGCTGGACAGGCTCCTCCCTGCTCCTAACAGCCAAGTGGTCAAAGGTCAGATCCCGGAGGCTCAAATGCCTGTCCTGCTGTTTCCTGGCTGGGTGACCGCGGACAGGTTACTTCCCTTCCTGCGGAGAGTTTCCTCATCTGGGACCCGTGGATGACGATCATACCTCGCTCGTGGGGTGGTTGAGTGGATCTGTAAAATGTATACATGAGATGCATAAAATGCATGCACGAGGCACTCAATAAATGCTAATTGTTATCCTCTGCTAGGTGTCGGGGATGGGGCTCTGGGGTGGGGAGCTCCCCTTTAGGACTGTGTGACCGCCTGGCCTCTGCTTGGACCCCTCCTCCTGCTCCTCCCCTCCCCTCCCCTGCTGCAACCCTGGCTTCTGGCTGCGTTTGTCTTGGGACTGGTCTTCCAGATGGTTCTATTGGACTCGTTTGCTTGGCAGACTTTCGCGTAGTCTGCTCTGGGCCTGGCACCCTGCTGTAATCCAGGAACCTCCAGAGAACTCCGACAGCGGCTTTGCCGTCCAGACGACGTAGGGGTGTGTGTTGGGGGGGACGAAGGGGGAACCTTCCAGCGTGGGGGCTGTGTGTTCAGTTAGGGGCGCGCTTGGGGGCTGTGGGAGCTCAGGGCAGGCCTCTGACCTCTGGGAGCTCAGTCCCGAGGGACCGGTGGAGATGCTCCAGCTGGACCCGAGCAGGGAGGGCCTGGCAGGCAGAGGCCACACCACCTTCAAGTGTCTGGAAACCCTCTGCCTCCTGGGGCCAAAGGGCACTATTTCAGCCTGACGTCCCCATGAAGCCTCCAGGTACCAGAGGAAGAATGGCCACGAGCACATCCCTCCAGCAGCTACAGTTATCATCCCCGTGTGGCGATGGGGAGACTGAGGCACAGAAAGGCACAGTGACTTGCCTGAAGGCACACAGCCAGCGAGTGGGATTGGAACCCAGACATTCCTGACTTCGGAATTCACGCTCTTAATCCCCCACCCCCCTCCATGGGGTCGCGGGGGTCTCTCCAGCCACGCTGTCTGCCACTGTGTGTCCACCCAGTGGGGCGCGAACTTCCCGAGAGAGGGGCTGAGCCCTTGGTGCCACTGAACCCAGCGCCCACACACACAGACACCCGGCCGTGCGTCCTCTCCCAGCCAGGCCGGCCCGCCTCCTGGGCCCTGAGCTGGGACACCCCGGCCCCGTCACCACGAGTCAGAGCCAGGCCTGGTCCTTGCCCCGTCCGAGAGCAAACCCTCGAGAGCAGGCCTCATCAGGGG